CTCCCCGAGGGCCTCTTAGAACCGAAGAGGAATTTCTGTGCACTGCCTTTACTTTGCAGGTTTCCTGCTTTGGAAGTCTGTGGATTTGCAGAGGCTTTAATCTTGTGTTACCCACTTGCTGGGGGCCATTTCAATTGTCTGCTCGGTGCCATTTTTGCTTTTTTTTACAAAAGAAAATGCCACAATAATTCTGCTAATTCAATTCTGTGCATGCTAAACAGGTTGGAGGGTGACAAGTCTGAAGCTGTTAACTGCCACAGGTCCATACCTACCTACCTCATCTTCTTGGCATGCTTCCCGTGTGGTGTGGTTAAAACAGGAATGGGCAACCTGGACCAGTGACTCACTTTCAGGATTCAAAGGGATCTTGGAGCACCTTTGAGACTGAGAGAAAGAACGTAGCATACGCTTCCAAACACTTTTAGCTACTATGCTACCACCTTCTTTCTCTCACAACTTTACTGTATGAGCCCCTTTCTCGCCACCATCGTGCTTATCAATGAAACATGGTTATACCTGTTTGTATTTACCACATGTCTTTGCAATCACACAGCTGCCATCATCACACACTCTTCCCCTTAGCCCTGCTTCCCTGTCCTATGCCCTACCCAGCATGCCTTCCAGGTTTTTAAAATTTTAATTCTATTTATTTTTGTTTTCACTTTTTCACATAATTCCAGAGCTCTGCTGCTGCGATTTAAGGGGTTTTTTAATAAATAAATAAATAAAAGAAAGAAATAGAAAAAAAATAATAAAGGTAATCAGGCTGCTTGGGATTAGCAAGGGGAAGGGAGGACATGGGAAGAAGAGGGGACACTGAAAAATCTCACAACTGCCCTGGCAGCACCATTTCACACTTGGGAACTAGCACCATTGCGAGCTCATTGATGGATTTCCCCTGTCAATGGAGAGGGATGCCCTGACTGCGCTTGAGGGATACAACAGCTACAGGTCAGAGGTGATATCATGCAATAGATATCACCAAAGATGTTTCTCCCCCCTCTTCTCTAACTGTAGTTTAAAAGCTATGTGTAGTAATCTCGCCACATTGCCACACTACACTACAGAGCTGCTATTCCACTTTTACTGCTCCAATTGCCTCCTGTTGCATTCTGAGGTTTGTAGTTCAGTGAGCTCTCTGGCTAAAAATTTTAAATGTCCCTCCTTTAACTGCAAATCCCAGAATGCAACAGGAGGCAGCCACCACAGTAAAAGTGGAATAGCAGCAGCTCTGTAACAGTGGACGTTATCACACG